TGCATGCCAGTCCACTGGGGACCTGTGAGTAATAGATGGTTCCACACAGGTTATTGCAGTATTCTGTTTCCCAGAGTATAATTCAAGAATATTGCTCTTCCCTTGCTGATATTTAGCCATCTTCCTGTCCTTCAGTTCTCCAAATTGGGGACTTGCCAGAATTTAGGTCTTTCTCGTTTTCTGTCTTTTGCATAGAATATATAAGTTGCTGGTGTTAATATTGGTGTAAAAAAATGGTAACTTTTCCTTTAGGATAATTAGGGATAAATATTGCTTAATTTCAAGGCAGAAATATTTATATATTCAACAGCTATCTCTATGTTTCTCTTGTATAAGAAAGGGTACCTGTAGAAGCCCACTGAAAGCTCCTGGGACAGAACCATGTCTCAGATTTGCAGAGATGCTGTAGGAGTACAGAGTAGATAAACTGGGGACACCCCAGCCTTTCTTCTCCTTTCTTTTTTGACTATTCTGGGACGTTCTCCAGTAACCAGTTAGGAGCACATTTTAGGTAAAGTGGCTTGAGTAGCCATACGTCTACCCTTCCCTGTCTTCTGGCAAGCACCTAGGTCTTTTAGAGATATTGGTATTTGAAAAGGGTGGAATCTATTTGCTTTCAAATATTTAGTTGGATTGCCTGCCTTGTTTTCAGTTCTTTTGTCCAACTTTGTAGTGGTTAGCACTGGCCTTACCAGCATTCAAAGAAGTGGTTTTTTTACTGCCCCATAAGTAGTTGGAAGCAAAGAGAAATTTCAGAAGTCTAGAGAGAGGCCTGTAGGGAGGTGGAGATTTGTTCTGCTAGAGAAATCAGATGAGAGCTACCTTTAATAAAGCTATCAATTTCTTTTCAAAGCTTAAAATGCAAAAAAGCGATGTTTTGATATGCACAGAAAGTCACAAAACCAAAGACTACAAGGACCAGACTTAGTAGTATAATGTTTGGTTTCATAACTTTTGACTAGACGAGAGTTGATTTGCTGTTTTTTCTTTGCTCATCAGGAAGCAAAACTTCCCTCCAATGATGGGGATGCCTGCAGTGTGACTTGGGACCCAGGGCCATTTGTCCAGTGTGCCCGGGTGACCCTGTGATTGCTGCCTTCCCAGGAATAAAGCACTCCACTGACAAAGCTAAAGTGATTTCAGAAGGTTTGAAATGCTGTGGAGAAGGCGGTAGGAACACAGACCTTGAAAATTAGCTGAATTTTGACTGTCGTAATAACCAAAGCACCGAGAGATGTTCTCCTTGTTAGAGGTGGATCTATCCTTGCTTCCAGAGGGCAACTAGAAAGGAAAAAGCTGTTTGGAAGTATTTCAGGGGCATCTTTTTGACTGACTTGCTGGCAAAGAGGTACTGTGATGTATTTTAACAATATCTAAGTTGATTCTTTTTCTAAAAAATGCAAAGAGTATGAAGATCAAGCATGAATGTCAGGGCATTTACTCCTTTCTACCATCCTGGACTTATTGGCACCATTTAAATCAAAGTTCTGCAATTCACAAGAAGGTGTATTCTGTTTAAATACTATGGCAAGCAGACTCACACATACCATACACAGACCCCAATTTCCAAAGCATTACTGTGCTGTAAACTACAGTTAATTCCCAAACTATATGACTGATTGTCTTTTTGAAAGAGTCAGAAAGCACTTTTAAGGTCCCTTGAGGGCTACAAGGTCATTCTATTTATTCCACTATGCATTGGGTCTTAGGCTTGTGGAAGTACCCATTAAAAGATAAGTTCGAGCTGAGATACTGCTAAATAAAACCTTTCATTGTACCTAGACAGTTTCTTGAGAATTGGCAGAAGAATCATGGAGTTTTCCTTTCATCAGACCAATAGCAGCATTCCAATTTTGTAGCATCATTTGGAATGAGCTCCACAGTGCTCTTGTTCTCAGCCTATAGGAAGGATAGGAAACCTTGCTTTATACATAACTTGGGCATCTGAGGGCAGGGGCTCTTCCCAGCCCTTTGGTCTAACTCACACCTCTACATATCATGTAACTATCCCCAAATTTGGCACCAGTTCACCCTTTTCTACAAAAGTTATATTTTAAAACAAGGGGCAGCCTCTGGGTGTCTGGGAGACTCTATGATCAGAAGGTGTGTAAGAAGTTATTGTGACCTTAAGTCTGAACATGCTCATGACACCAAGAGTAAATAGATTTCAGATTTACAACCTTCTGAGAGAAACTTAGTACTGATGATAACACAAAGAAAATGTGTAACTCAGTTAACTCTTTCAAAGTTTACTATGTTTCATCAAAATATATCTCTTTAAGGACAAAATTACTAGAGTAGAATATGGAGGGGAGAGAAATGTTTTTCCCAGTGGTAAAATATTTTATAAAGCATTCCATTTTGATATAGTTATGTATTTGTTTAATATTGTATTAAATTTTTTCTTACTTTTACTGTGAAGATTAGGTCTGTGTGTTACTTAAATATTTATTTTTACACAGTTAACAGTCTTCAGATAGTTTTTCTTTACTTCATATGGTTTTAGTTTTTATCAATATAATTTTAAATCATTTTCTCCTTGGTCATCTTTTTGTATATATTGTTTAATTGATCTTTTGTCTTTAGACTGCAAGTGTTCTTCACCACTCTATAAAGTGCCCAGTACTGTAGTGATTTGTTTTTGTTTTCAAATAAGTCCCAGATACACCTTTTTGGAGGCTTTGTCTAAATGTAGACCCAGTATCAAGACAGCAGGTTCTCTGCTGTAGAAATTTTCCCCCAGTTATTCCTACGAATGTGCTGCTATTTTGCTATTCACTATATTGCACTTAGTTAAAAAAAAAAAAAAAAAAAGATAGTGTCAAAGAGGAGAGCAATTCTGGAGAAGATATCAGAGATGAGGCATGAGGAATAGGGGAACAGGGTGGCACCAGGCTCCAGAGAATTGAGCAGATTCTGCTTCCTTTCCACACATACTCATGCTCAGCCTCATGTCTTGAGTGTGTGCTTAGAGATGAGAAGTCCTTTCCTAAACCTGAACTGCCCCAATTTGCTGAGTGACTGAAGAAAATCAAACTCTGTGGCTCAATCCAGATGGGAAGCTTATAAGTGCTTTTCCCAAAGTCAAGCAGTAGTTACTGCTACAAAATACTTTCATCTGTTCATGGAAGAATAACATATAAAATGATGTGTTTAAACACAAAGGAAAAAATGATTGTTAAAGCAAGGTAAATAACTTGACAGCAGTCTTTTTCATTAATATGTGGGTAAAGATTTGCAATGCCTCAGACTGAAAGATATTCACGTGAGTAGAAAGTTTCCTCATTATAGGTATGTATACATATACGTATATATATGGTTTTTAAACTACTGGTCATTGACACTAAAATAAGAAGGAGGTTTCATTGAACATTAGCTTTTTTCAGTAGGTTCAAAGTTCAGTGCTGTGGTTATAGTTGGTGATGCCATAAAACATCATGCCCGACAATTGTTTTGGAAGTTTCTAAACAGTTTTCTTGCACACTACTTGTAACTGGAGTGCAACATTACATATTCTGTATTAAAGAAATAAAGTATTTTTATCATTTATTAATATTGATTTATGAGTTTGAACAATGTGAAAAATTTGAAGCAAGATTATGCTTATTATAATTACACATATATTTTGTTTTCTCCCTTTCTTCTTGAATATCATCTCATCAACTTACCAGTAGAAATGAGGAAAGCATTCCAAGACTTGACCCAGGTGGGTTGTGTGGTGCCTGAAGTCTCCAACTCTCCTGGAGACAGAATGCCGTAAAAACAAGTTTTGAATATTTAGCACTTTGTTTTTAATTGTTTCATCAGTCTTTTGCTTAAAAACATTTTTCTTCATGTTTTATTAATGTTATCATTGGAAGATGGACACAGATAAAAATGAAAGCACAGTTCGTAGCCTTTCTCATGAATTCCTTGTGTCAGCGCACCATAGGCTTGTATCAGCTGGATGGAGCCACAGCTGGTGTGGAGCCACCTCTTCTCTATCTGATCCAGCCAGGTTGACTTTGTTTTCAGTCTTGCGGTGGTTTATGCCTAAACCTGTGCAAACTTCCTACGAGGCATTCTTGAGGAGAGTAAATACATCTCTTCTGTACTTCCATAAGAACATGGGCAGATCCCCAGGGTGCCATAGAAACTCCATGTTGCAGCAGTTCAGAAACAGTCCAGATGTTGTGTGGCACATCTTCTGCCACAGAGTCCAGTGGCAGCTGCCATTTTTCTTCCTCAGGTAAACTTGAGGGTTTATCTTTCAGTTGCCCTTTCTGAAAATTCAACAGAATAGGAAGCAATGGAATGATACACAATGGTTAGTGTTTAAACATTGTTTGCATGTTCATTGATGAAATAGATCTATATAATATCTAACTGTTCTGGGTTTGAAATATTGAACAAGGAGAAAAGTAATTCTCTCAACCAGAAGATTATAAGCCTGGTCTTGGAAATAGCAGGGATTGGCTGATGGGGAGAAAATATAAAGAGGACAGAGAAGTGTGCTCCTGGCCATAATAGTTTCCTCTTTATCTCTGCTACAATGCCTCAAACTCTACAATTGATTGTCATCTTTGTGTTACCTTCTTGAAAATTTTCATTAAAACCGAAATACTTTCTGAAGGGGAGAATGTATTAAATCATTAATAACTTTCATATTTAAGTCAAAATATAATATTAATTTCCTTAGAAAGTGAGAATCTCAACCACAGGGTCAGACATGGAAACACCCGGATCCTGGCTTCATTACACCCTGTGGCTTACTAAATTTTGAGCTTAAGCAGGACTTTTAATTACAAGTGCCAGAACGGGAAATTACGTAATTGACTAAACCCTAATCCCTGCTGTCCACCTTGTAGTATCAAAACAATTGTGCTTCTGAGCAACGGTGACTTTAATCTAGGCTGCCACTGATGACAACAAGCAGAATTCACTCACGTGCGTCTGTTTAGGAGCCAGATACCGCACTCGGAACTGGAGGCTCACCGAGATCCCTGCCATGGTGGGGCTTGTGTTCTAGTAGGGGGCCAGATATTCAAAAAGAGAATAGAGGTAGAGAGAGAGATGATAGATATAGATGACTGATAGATGAATGATAGATAGAGATGACTGATACACATAGATGGTAAACAGATATAGATGATAGGTGAATGCCAGATATAGATGATTGAGAGATGATTGATAGGTGATATATAGATGCTAGACATAGATGATTGATAGAAAGATACAGATGATAGAAGAAGGAAGGAATGCAGGCAGGCAGAGTGAGGAAACAGGCAACAGTGAGTGACACTATGAGCTTGATTTGTGAATTTATATGAACTTTTAGGTTCATGGTTTCTATTTAATGGTCAATCTGTCTGAATCATAAATGGAACCCAAGGTCCAAACCATAGAAAAAGAATCAAGCAGCAGGGAAGGGAAACATGCAAATTATAAATGGCATTTTTTTCACTGAGAGGTTTATTTTTAGTCTGGAGTTCCTTCACAAAGCAGGATACTGCACATGAGGCCTCAGGACTTAGCCTGTATCTGGGCCATGAGGTTGTTGGAAAGGGACCCAATGCTTTACTTTGGCTTTTACAGAGAGTCCAGTTGTCCAGCTCAGGGAGAGTGAACAGGGTGAGTACGGCAAGGAAAGGGTGACTGTCACAGGCCAGAGCAGGCCAGTAGGGAAAGGAAAGGGTGGTGTTTTCTCTGAGCAACCTCTGAGAGCTGCCTCTCTGACACACCCTTGTGGGTAAACAGAAGTCTCAGGCTGGGGAGAGTCAGGCTGATTGTATCAGGATCTGAAGACCGTGTTCTTTTCTCCACCCACTCGCAAGTCAAGACGGCAGCATCCACAGTTCAGTCAGCGGTCCCCTCATGGACTCTCACCCCATTCCCTTCCAGGTGTGCATGGGATACCCAAGAGGGAATGTCAGTGTGGGCGTTGGGGCAGGTGAGCAGAGACCCACTCTACCAGGACTGCAGACTGTTGCAGCTAAAAGTGGAGTTGGAAATCATGGAGTTCAACCCTCTCATCTCCTGTGAGGACACGAAGCCCAGAGCTTACATGGCTTGCCCTGTGCACCAAGGCCTAGCAGACCCCTCCCCTCAGTCTAGATCAAGGTCCTGGGAGACCTGTCTTATGCAGAGGACATTAGTAAGGCAGTCAGCTGTCCCTGTTTGCCTGGGACTTCCCAGTTTTGGCGCCGAATCCTGGACATACCTTCAGTCTCAGCACACTGGGAAGCTTCACACCCAAGATACAGCCTCAATTAACACACATCTGGAGGACAGTCTTGACCACACTTTTGTTTCTACTTTCTGAGGAAACTAATGACAAAAGTACTGTGAGCACATGCAAAGTTTAAGTGCTTGTTTTAGCATTTTTACTCTTGCTCTAAATTAGGGCAGAGAATTTCCTCCTTAATGGGAAGATCACGTGGTCAGGGTTGAGGAGGCTTAGAATTTGCTCTGACAGGAAGAACTCTGACAGAGCCCAGCTTCAGCTCCCATCTGCAGGGCGTGGCTGAACTCAGGAGAAGTTTGTCCCACACTCTGAAAGGGCCCAGGAGGATGGCCCACAACAGGGGTAGCCAGCACTTCCTAGGCTTCTTCAATAACAGGAAATGTGCAAAATGCTCATGTTGGCTCTTCCACATCACCCACACGACCATCTGCAAGGATCATCATCTTACGTGGGAGGGAGCTGAGGGGTGGAAAGATTTAGTACCTTGCCCAGGTCAAAGAACTAATGAGTTGGAAGAGAGTTTGAACCCAAATCAGCCTGGTTCCAAAGTCTGATTAATTCTCTCTGCACTGGGCTGGTTTTTAGGAAGAATTAAATGCAACCAGAATGCTTACAATGGTTTCATAACTTCTCAAGGGCACACACTGATTCAACAGGCTGAGCATTACCCTCTGCTGAGTGACTCAGGTGAGATGGGGCTCCCTGCCACATGGAGAATATGGAAGCATCGCGCAAGCTTCCACATCTCAGGGAAGGCTCTCGTGGTTCAGTTTATGCTGATAATCTCACATAAGGCGATGTGTATTTAAAAAAAAAATAAGAATAAGGAGAAAACCTGAGGGAAAGCAAACAAACTATTCAGAAGAGTTCGAAACAGGGCTGCTGAGGCCACGTTGGGCAAACTTCTGAGTGGA